CGACGTCGTTTCAGGGTCCGTTTGGTTGGTCACGGTTTGTGTATTGGTATTTGATACACTCCGCATGCGTGATACACTGATACGCGTTATTCACATAAAATCATAAAATTACATGAATATTTCATAGATTTGTATAGACTAGTTAGTAACAAATAAATTACTAAACAATACTAGTTATTTAATTCTTTAGTCATAATAATATATTGATACTAATTTATATATAGTTTTTTTTAGCAGACATTTATTTAATAATTTGTGATTTATAAAAGATGATATGATATCGATTAATGGAATTCCCCTTGCATTTCTCTTTATCATTAACGTATGTTTACAGATCACGTTTGATAACGAATTCTCGTTTGTGTTCCCAAAACTACAAAAATTAAAAAACGAGGATATTGTGTTATTGACGACTATACGGATTACCATAACAAAACTAGAGGATATTCCACTTGGCGATGTAGTGGAGTTAGCCAGATAGGTATCGAAGGAACTCCCAAGTATTGTCAAAAGATACTTTGATTAACATGTGTTTGTTATGCATGCGTTTAAGTTGTTTTCTTTTTGTTTAGAGTTTTTAGATTTAAATATTGGTTTCCTTTTTATTTATATTTATAGATTTTAAAAATATATTTTGGCGGTTTGTTCTGAAAAACATTATTAGTATGTTCCTTGACTTTTGAAGTAATTTGTTTATGTGATTTTGGTAAATTCATAGATTTTATATATTGTTTATGTGATTTTATTAAATTATGTGAATTTGTGAAGTATTTGAACTTTGAAAGTTTTTGATTTAGATGGTAACGTCGATATTGAAAATCCTTCGCTCAGAAGTAGTACTATAATATTCTCCGATGAAGTAAGGTTTTCAGCTTTTAAACCAACAATTATAGCATGTAATTGAACATTTTTCTTGTTGGTTGTATATCAATTTGTGATTTATTTTATTTAAATTGAAATGGAAAAATAGATCATTGTGACGGACACAATTATTTTGACCCAACCAGGTCATATATAATTATATACAAGATCGTTGGTCCCCAACGAAGAAAAATTGAATACGCCTGAGAAGAAAGAAACTGAAAATCAGATGGGGACTAAACTATAAAATAATCCCGCGATTATACATGAGCATGCACTTTTAGTCCTCTTAGGGAATTATTTTACATTTTCATTCAAGATATAGACTACGGTCATGGAGACTAATATAATGGTGGCAATCCATTAAATCAAGTAACATGGCAGGTAAGGTCATTTTTGTCATTCAACCTAATCCATATTCATGCATTCTGAAATTTAATTTTTGATCAAAACGCAACCAAGTATTTTCTAAAAAAGTTGTGATCTTTAATGAACACAATAAGATTATTTCAAGAACATGATTCTTAGAAATCAGTCAACGAGCACAAAACCTAAGAGACAAGTAGTTAGTTACTTAGTTATGTATAATAGTTGTACTTACAAAATGTAGTTTAAAGAATGTTTACACCATAAGTAACTTAAAATGTAGACTTAATATCCGATTCTATTGAAAACATAAACTTAACCATATTAATCATCAAGAACTATAAGTTTTAGCCCTGAAAGACTATTAATTAATGGAAAGTATCAACACTTTGATCATATACTAAAAACAATTATTAACAAAATTCAATTATCTTTTAAAAGAATCTCAATTCTAGAAATACAATAACACCCTAAACTTCCAATTTCTAAATCGATTAAAAAAACTTTAATCTTTTTCACATTTCAGATTCAAATCCAATATTCCAAAAACCTTCAGGGGTGGAAGGAGGTGCAAACCTGAATCGATGCCTGGAAACCCCCTCATGATGCTCACAACGCAGATTTTGCTTACTATTATTATTACCATCACTCCCCTCAGGAAGAACAGCATCATAGAATTTTTTACACTGCTTACATTCAATTCCTTTAAGATTCGCCCTATCGGCTTTCTTTCTTACTGGTTCAACATACTTGAAGTTTTTCTTCTCAGGCCTCCCGCTTGGATCCTGTGTCTCATCATCTGAGCTTTCAAAATTCATGTCTTTAGGAACCGGGTCTGGAAGATGATGAATCTCTTCTTCTTCTTTTCCTTTTGATACTTTTTTCAAATCTTGTTTGATGTTTTCTAATGGAGTATCGAGAAAATCATCGTGAGGGTCTGGGCCGTTTCTGTTTTTTGTAGGTCGAGTGTCTCTCCAGTGAGAAAGCGGACGTTTTGTTCCGGATAATAAGTTTGACTTTTTGGTGATGTCATTTGAGGTCGATTTGATTTCTTTTTTGACTTCAGAGTTTTGTTGGTTTGTGGTATGATTAGTTGTTTCACAAACAGGCACTGGGATATTCGGAGATTTCTGTCCATTGACTGTAATCATATATTGATAAGAAGAGATATGTTAGTTAGCTATTGCTTCGTTCGTTGTACAAGAAATAGCAATGTACTTTTGTTGAATTGTTTATTATAGCATCTTACTTTGTACTTCGATAAAAATCTATCTAATACAAAGCAATATTCATATAATCAGGTAGATTCCTCAAAGTAGAATGGTAAAATTGGGTAGATTTTTTTAAAGTAGGAAAAATACTAGAAGTAGAAGGAAATGAGAGTAGGATGCTATGATACATAAATAAATGAAAGTATGTTGCTAGTTCATGCATTCTTCGTCCCTAATAATATTTGGACGTATATTTAATCAAACACATAGATGCTAACAATTTGAAGAAAGGTGACTAATTGATGGGAGAAATATTAATAAAAACTTTATAATTCCAGTATAGCAAACATCATGGAAATCTTTTAAGTGGCAATACGATGAACACAGAAATATCACCCCTTTATTGTTTCTAAGATGAGACCATGTCACAGTCACAGCCATGTGGAATGACCTGAATACCAAGAAAGTGATGTAGTAAGCCCAAGTCTTTCAATGGAAATCCCAACCAAGTGTTGTCATACACATAGACAACAACATAGATGCAGACAAAATCCCATAAACAAATATGGGGAGAAATCAGTTTACTTTTAGGCCCGATAAACCCAACAACCAATGAAACCAAACTCAAGGTGCATGTTTGAGACCATATAGAAAAGGTTTGAGATAGCACGTATGATTTCGGTGTCCCTAATCAACAAGCCCCAAACCAACAAAACTCTGAAGTCAAAAAAGAAAGTGGACAGAAATCACTAGGACGGGTGATGGGGTCTCACTAGGATGATACTTTGGCTCCGTAGAAAGTGGGAGGAAGGTGAGATTAGAAGTAGGTGGTGATGGGGGGAGGAACTGGTTGATGAGTGGTAGGGTTGGAAGTAGGAAGAAATGGGAAACCAGACTCATTAAACGAAACATAACGAGCATACATTCGCTTGATTTTGAGATCAATACATCAATACCTACAATGTAAAAGGTTGTAGCCAAGGAAAACATAGAAAATTGATCGAAATCAAGTTTCTGAGTATAATACGGATGAACATACGGGAAACATTTTCACCAAACACTTTGATAAAGAGATAGAGTGGTTGTTTTTCTAAAACAAGAGTTTATAAAGAGAGACGGATTGAGACACACGGGAGGGCATTCAATTAATTAAAAAGACAGTGAGGCACGTTGTCAGGTGCCAAAAAGAGTAAGGCCAGTCTTGACCACTGTCTGTTTTCTCACTCAACATACCTAATTTACTCATGGATATGTGGACACTACAACTGATAGACAATTCCCATAACTGTGAAGTGGTTGGAGAGATTGCAATATCCCCGTCTGTTTGCAGACTTTTTTACTTTGAGTAAGTTACACGAATGGTCCCTATGGTTTGGGGTGATTTGCACGTTTGGTCCCTAACTTATTTTTTTTAACTCGGAAGGTCCCTACAGTTTGTTTTTGTTGCGCGCTTGGTCCCTGTTTTACCTAAAAAGACTATTTTGCCCTTGATTTTTTAATTTATTTAAATAGAATGGGGTAGGTAAGGTAAGGTGAGGTGGAAGTGGGGTTGGGGGTGTGTTTATTTAAATAAGTTAAAAAATCAAGGGCAAAATAGTCTTTTTAGGTAAGATAGGGACCAAACGCACAACAAAAACAAACTGTAGGGACCTTCCGAGTTAAAAAAATAAGTTAGGGACCAAACATGCAAATTACCCCAAACCATAGGGACCATTCGTGTGATTTACTCTTTTACTTTGCAATTAAACATGGTTACAAATTGTTTAAACTTGCAAAGACATCAACAGGATATAGCCACTGTAATAAGAATGATCATCCACAAAGTGCAAAATAACGATGCCCACTTAAACATATCACTATAAATCAAATCCAAAATATTTTGCTCTCAATCGGAGAAATAGACAAACTTGGCTTTAGATGATATCCCTTAGACTAACATAGACTTGCTAAACTAGAACATATAAACAAGTCATAGCTCAATAACCACTATATCCATTCAGCACTCGATGGCAAAAAAAAAAAAAAAAAGACTTACTCTCACTACCACCAAAGAACTATTATCATCCCATGAAACTTGCAATGTTTGTTTTGGCTAGACACACATCAATTCCTTCTAATGATGGCATTTGCCAAATGTCATTTTAGCTTAAATTTTTGCCAAAAAAGGAAACCTTGCAAACTTTATGGAACATTGTTGCAATTTTCAAGAGATGCAGGGAATAACTAGTAAAGGGTCAATCACCAAAAAGATAAATACATGATCTGTCATTCGCCAATTTAACAAGGTATCATCATTTTAAACAATTAGACAAATATATTCATCTTTGTTCTCCAATTAAAGAAGCATTCCAGCATGACATGTGAATTGTGATGTAAGCAATCCATCACCAAAATATTTTTAGTCGTTTGCCATATTGGGTTATTTGGCTGATAGTATGTTTTTCTTTTTGGTAATTAATATAATTAACAACATAAGAGGATAAAACCAAGGAAAAAAGGGAAAAGAAGAAGGATTACCAGGTGAATTCAATATATTCTGATCATGGCCTAACGAGTCTTTAT